TTGCTTATAAACTGTTTCTGGGTGGTGCTTTCAAACCTTCTCATATTTTACGTGCACCCCTAATGGAGAGGGAAGGAGCCTGGTGGTGCAGTGGTTAAGCGCTTGGCTGCTGACCAAAACACAGGCAATTCAAACCCACTAGCCCCTCTGAGAAAGAAGTGGCAGTCTGCTTCTGTAAAGATTACAGCCTTGGAAACCCTATGGGGCAGTTCTACCTTGTCCTGTAGGGTTGCTGTGAGTCAGAATCTACTCGACAGCAACAGGTTTGGTTTTTTTTGTTGTTGTTTCATAATAGAGAGATCAGATCCTAATTCTGCCACTTACCAGCTGAATCTCAGTCTCCTTATCTGGAAGATGGGATAATAATATCTACCTCATAGCGTTGTCTTGCTTGACACATAGTAGGTGCTCAATAAATGGTAGCCACTTTTATTATTTTTGTTTTGAGGGATTTTTGATGATTTTTTTTCCTTTAAGAATTTGAGAATTTTAAAGAATATATTCAAAAACTAGCTAAAGCATAGGTACCAGTATATTACAAAAAACACAAAGAAATCTAATCAAGTACTTATAAAATTCCAAGAAATATTAATCTACAAACTCACAGAAGATCTGGAAAGAGGGAAAGTGCTTTATTCTGCAGTTGAAAAAAAAAGTACGTATCTCCTGGTTATGTACATTTATACCAAAAAAACGAATAAAGAGAGGTGAAAAGAATTATACTTGAGAACAAAAATAGTTATTATTTATTTTTAGTTTTTATTAAAAAGGAGCCCTGGTTGTGCAGTGGTTAAGTACTCAGCTGCTAATCAAAAGGTCAGCATTTTGAACTCACCAGCCGCTCTGTGGGAGAAAGATGTGGCAATCTGTTTCTATAAAGATTACAGCCTTGGAAACCCTATGGGGCAGTTCTACTCTGTCCTGTAGGGTCACTATGAGTCGGAATCGACTCAATGGCAATGGGTTTTATGGGTTATTTTATACGTAATGTATTTTTATTGAGGTAAAGTGAGTAGAAGGTTTTAAAACTGAATATTCCTGTGTTTAAAATATACCCGTTCTACTATTTTTAAGGAGATAATAGATTAACATTAATACTTTCCAAAGAGGGGCAGATACATCTTAGAAGTGATTTTTAGAGATGAAAAAGCCAAAAGGTTGGATCTCTATCCTCTCTATTTGTTATTGTAAATAACATTTTACTAACTATAAAAATAATATCTAACAATAATAATAGCTAATATTTATTGAGAGTTTACTATATGCCATGTACTGAATTAAGCACTTGACGTGCAAAATCTCATTTTAAAATAATATTTTAAAAAATTTGTTGAAATTTTGAAATATGAAGGAACAAGTGTGTGTGTGTGTGAAAATAATTGGAACTCTTCTGTACATGCTGATATGTAGCTCACCTTAATGTGTTGTTAGGACTTGTCATTAAATGATCTCCCAATCATGATCTAAATTGCTGTGTACTGTCCATAGGAAGACATAGTATGAGCGTTCCAGGATTTATTTAAGCAATCGCAATTGTTGGACACCCAGGCTGCTTCTGGATTTTTATGTTTTCAATAATACTGGACAAACATCCTCATATAAATATTTGACAATTTCCTGGGTGTCCATTTATGGTTATAAAATTTAATTTAGATGCCCAGGATGCCAGATTTGGTACAAAACAGGCAATCTGTTCGATAATACCTCTCAAGGGAACCAAACTCAATTAAAATACATACCAAACTGTATCATATATATAGTCTGTATATATAGACTATACAGTATATAGTCTAGAAGAGCTCTCCGTGAAAAGCCGTTATTTTTGCTGCAAAATTCTAATAATTTCTGTACAAGTTATTTAAATGCCCCGGAGTTTTGCTTTCCTCCTCGGTAGAGTGAAATTACAGTAATGCCTTCCTCGTGGTGGCGGAGTGGGAATTCCCTAGGAGCCAATGTCCATCAAGCATTTAGTGCAAGGCCTGGCATGCAGTGAGCTGCCGTTAGCAATACTGAGTACATGGAGTGCAGTGCTTATGTAAGTAATGCCAGTCTGTATGTCTGTCCTCTAGCGACTTGAGACATTTGTGTAAATATTTTCCTAGTATAAATAGAACCAAGGTTGTACTTGTCAGTTGGGTAGTCACTGTACAGTGGTGTACCCACAAACGCAAATTCTAGATACTGAGAGTGGGTGGTAGCAGTTAAGAAAACAGAAAGGTCAGGGAGTACTTCCAGAAAGTCATTGGTAAAATTTGAGGATGTTGTAAGGTTGTATTTAAAAGGTGTCGCAGAGTAAAGGCTCAGAATACTATCATTAGCAGAAGCCAGATAAGTCAGGGCAATGGTTTTGAAGCTGTGCCAGTGATCCATAGTAAGAAATTCAATTCCGTTAAGACCCAGAATGCAAGTAAATATATCTATGTGTCGGTTTTGTACTTACTCTTACTTTGTGTGCCGTACTCTGATATTTTATACTGTTTCATTTTCTTTTTTTTAACCATTTTTTTATTTTTTAATCTAAGTTTTATTGTGGTGAAATATATATAACAAAAAGTTTGTCATTTTAAGTGTATAACTTAGTGACATTATTTCCACCATGTAATGCTATCATTAAAAAAAAAAAAAAAAACAGTTGCTGTGGAATTGACTCCAACTCATGGCAACCCCATTTTGGTAGAGTAGAACTGTGCTCCACAGGGTTTTCAGT